AGAAGATAAGGAAAAAAGTCTGCTTCTTACGTAGAATTGGGCAATCTAATACACAATGTGAATCTATCCAAACAAGTTTGCTAACAAACAGCTCTTGTGTTTAGTGTTACTAATAAAACAACCTTCTCATTAGAAAATCAAGGCATCATTTGCTTAATAAAGCCATTATTCCCCCAGTTTTATGTTTGTCTTCATATAGAAGCTATAAATTCATGAGAAAGAGAAAAGAACAAGTTTTGTTGTGGTATAAAAATCTTAGGAACAAAAAATTACAAATATTCAGTGTTTTAACAGAAATGTTTTCTTTCCCACTATGTAAATATCCAGTTAATAAAATAAACATAATATTCCAGGTATAGAAATACTAGTAATTTGCTTACAAAAGACTGTATTTGGCGGTCACATTTTTGTTTGTCTTGAGTATAAAAGCACTTTACCAAAAGAATCAGGCCATTATTATTTAAAGTCTACCCCTTCACCCAGTTTCCTTATCTCAGTAGAAACTCATCAATTTCTATAGAATTTTGGCTATAGGACCAGGCCACAGGAACAGTCTGAAAAATCTAAAACCTATTTGGTTGGAGAAAAGTGTTTTCTTGAGACTTGGAAGCAGTTACCCATCACTTTGCACTTAAAATAATTCCTCAGTGAACTTCTTCCTACAGCCTTTAGAATCCGGCACAGGACCTGGGGCTCCCAGCACAGGATCTGGGGTCCCGGAAGGGCTGGCTGGAACACTTACTCCCAGGGCATCCTTGCAGGCAGGCATTCTACATGCAGAACTGTGAAGTTCTGCAGCCTCCTGCCCTGTGGGACCTTGGTCCTCTCCATGGCCTCCAACTTGAGCTGCTTCCTCGGGTGTTACAGAATGTTCACACTGGCCCTGGAAGACACAGCAGCAGTGCTGGGCTCTGAGGGCAGGCAGTTTCCTACCACTGTAAGGACAATGAACAAATTTAACCTGGCTTAAAAGACCTACCTCAGCCAGCTGTAGTGTATCTCCCACTGCTTCTCATGCCATGTACCCCTTTCTCTTTTCATTCTAGCTTCAAAGAGAGGCAAAGCAATAAAAGTTTCCCCTGCCACAGGGCCTTTGCACAGACTCTTTGCCTAATAAACTCCTCCCACATACCCTCTTGCAGGATTATAACCTATTCTTTCTTTTGACCTCAGTTTAATTTTCATTTGGAAAACCTTTCCTAGTCCCCCTAACTTGATTTTCCTGCTGCTGCTGATCCCACACTTCATTTCATGGTTACAGAAAGTAATTTTCTACCTACTCAGCTGATATCATCTCCAGGTAGACACTAAGTTTCATTTCATGGATCCATTATTTTTTAAAAAATTTTAAGTGTTTATTTTTCAGAGAGAGAAACAGAGCCTGAGTGGGGGAGGGGCAGAGAGAGAGAGGGAGACACAGAATCTAAAGCAGGCTCCATACTCAGAGCTGTCAGCACAGAGTCGTATGTTGGGGGCTCAAACTCATGGTCCATGAGATTATGACCTGACCTGAAGTCAGTTCCTCAACCAACTGAACAACCCAGACCCCCTTCGTGGAGCCAGTTTTGTACAATATTATATTCCCAACACCCATTTCAGTTTTTTTTTTTTAATGTTTTATTTATTTCTGAGAGAGAGACACACACACACAGCATGAGCAGGGGAGGGTCAGAGAGAGAGGGAGACACAGAATCTGAAACAGGCTCCAGGCTCTGAGCTGTCGGGGGGCTCCAGGCTCAGAGCCCGACGGGGGGCTCCAACCCACAAACTGTGAGATCATGACCTGAGCCGAAGTCGGACGCTTAACTGAGCCACTCAGGCGCCCCTCATGGAGCCATTTTTGTACACTATTATATTCCCAACACCCATTTCAGTTCTTAGGAAAAGCAGTTCCTTGTTAAATGTTTGTTGAATCGAATGGATAATTGAATGAATGTTTTTTGTTTATGTTATTCTCCTACAAAATACTATTTTGTAGTACTAATACAAAATGGTATTCGTTTCATGTGCTAACTAAATAGATCTGTGAAGGTTGCCCCGACTATTCTGGTAAGCATTATCTTCCTTCCTTGAGTATCACACAAATTATAAGTCCCATACTATTGGCATTTACTTGTTCTTTCTATTTGTATAGGAGATATGCCCCTTAAAGTCAAGGGCCATACTGTACATTTCTGTTGATTTACCTGCTTCACTACCTTCCTTCATCTTATGCTACATCTTGTGTCACAAATAAAAAATACTGCTAGTTTAGAGCATGTCATGTTTTTGTAAAACTCATTAGAAAATTGGTTTAAAAAAAGTTTGAAAGAAAAAACTGTGGTTGATTAATATCACTGTCTTTGGAATTTTATATGAACCTGACTTTGGAAGTTTAGAGAGTATGGCAAAACACAAAGATACGTTGAAAAGAGAAAAATGTGGAAGAAATGTAACAGGCAAATGCCAACAGACAACTTAAGGATGTAAATATGAAACTAGTGTGGAATGGAACTTAAGGAAAAATTATTTGTAAATAAAAAGGAATAGTTTATATTGAATAAGATCCAATCTGCCAAATAGTTCTTGCAGCTGTGAACTCACATATACTGAATAATAAAAGATCAATACAAATATAGTACAAACTGACAGAAATACAAGAAGAAATTAAAATAACAATAATTTCAGGAGCCTTTAACCTAAAACTCCTAGAACTGATTTTACACACACACACACACACACACACACACGAACACAGCTTCACATACAGCGTTGAGCCCAATAAGTAGAGACTTCATATCATTTGCTAATGACTTTGCAGTATTTATAGAAGTTCTTCTATGCTAGGGTCAACAGAAGTTCCAATAACTTCCTAAAAGTAGATATTATTAAAGCTGCATTGTGTGGAAATAGAGTAAAATAACTAGATAACATAGTGAGAAGTTATCAAATCATTTGGAAAATGCATAAATTCATTTCTGAATAAATCTTAAGTTAAAGAGGAAATGACAAAACTGAATATATGGCATATGTGAGCATATTATACTAGTCTCAAAAGCATGATACTCAAAAGAAAATTTATTGTATCACATAACAATTTTAAAATTAAAATAAACACATTTAAATATATAAGATGAAAAGGACATAAGAGTAAATACACAAAACATAGGCATCCTCCAAATCCAAAGGCCCTCAACACCAATGGTTTTATGGCGAATTTTGTCCCAGTCTTCAAGCACCAGGTAATTCTTATTTATGCTGCTCTCAAACATTGAAAAAATGTAGACACTCCCAAAATTTGCTCTATAACTTTAGCATAATCCTACAAAATTAATTCTAAAGTTCAAATCTAAGAGAAACTATCCTAGAATTGCCAAGAATATTTGGAGGAAAAATGATTTCTGACTTGCCCTAACATATGAGTATGAGATATAGTGATAGTAATTTAAGCAGTTTGTTGTTTTTTTTTTTTTTCTTAAATAGGCAAATAGATTCATTTGGAAGGATATATTCTAATTATCATTTCAAATCCACTGTGAAAATAGTATAAGATTTGAATATCTTTGAAAAGATATTGGGCCATAAGAGACTCTTATGGATTGCTGGGAGGAAGAAGGGTGGGAAATGAGCTACAATGGATGATGGGTATTAAGGAGGACACTTGTGATGAACACTGAGTGTTATATGTAGGTGATGAATCACTAAATTCTATACCTTAAACCAGTTTTATTGTATATGTTAGTTTCTAACTAAAATTTAAATGAAAACTTGAAATAAAAAAAGAAAAAGAAAAAAGAAAAGCTATCAGGATAATTTGGGGAAAGCATGTTAACATTCTACTTCACATCATGTCCAAAGAAATTCTGTAAAGATGAAAGATGTAAATGTAAGAACCAAATATTATAAAATAATTTTAAAATGGAAGGCTTTCTAACTAACACAATTAAAAAGGAAAGGATAAATGGGTATGACTTTTCAGAAATATAAAATTTTTATATGGAACAAGACATATAAGTAAGTTATATACTGGGAGAAAATATTTAACACATATATAACATAACAAAAAATCATTACCACTAACAAAGATAATCTCTAAATCAGTAACAAAATGTCGAACAAATAGAACAGAAAGGTAAATTTGAGAAAAAAGTGTACAAGTGTCCTGAAAACACAACTTCTGCCATACTAGAAATACAAATAATAAAAACTAAAATAGTAAGCTAATACTCTTCACTGAAAAACTGGTGAGAATTTAAAAAATCTATAATATTCAGTGCTACCCAGTGTGTATAAAAGGACAAGCCTATACTTTCGGTAGGTGTATAATTGGTAAAAACTTCATAAGATTTTAAATGTTCATACATTTCAGCCCAATTATTCCACTTTTAGATATCTATGCAATCGAAATACTGTGAAAATGCATGTGGATGTGCGTAAAGATGTTACTGCAATGTTGTCTGAAACAAAAAGTTAGAAACAACCTGAGTGTGTCTATACCGCTAATAAGGTGCTTCCAAAGGTGATAGTAGAAAGAGTAAACACAAAACTAAATAATAGTACTACACTGATGCTGACCACATAGAATGAATTAGTTTGAATGGACACGGACCGTAAACAATTAGCACAGGAACACTGCATTCCAGCTTGATTTCAGCCATGGGTACATCATTTCAGGCAGCTGCTTTTAAATTTGGGACTGATTTGTAGGAATTAAACTTGAAGGGTTCCCATAATATACTACTTAAGGGAAAAAGTAAGTTGCAGAATTGTCTCCAGACACTTAACATGATTTTTTATTTTGCAAAAAATTAAAAGAAACAGAAAATCCACTGTTTCTGTGTCAGAGTGTGCTGTATATACTTTAAAAAATATTTTGAAATATTTATCATTCAATTTATCACTTTCATTAATACTTGTCAGTTATCAGTTATTTACCCTTCACCATATTTTTCTGTATGCCTTAACCCTTCCTCTAATCAGCTGCTCTCTTTTCCTTCCTGCCTCTCAAAAGGGATGACACAGTGGAGAGAAGAGGAAAAAAGAAGTAGTCGAGTTTGAATCTCACAAGGTTACTGTGCTGGAAGAAATGGAAATGATGCAGGCATGGAGAAGAAATTTGGAGGAAGACATGGAAAAGCCAGAAGATGCCACCTCCATCACTTCCGTCATCAAAGAGAAAGGAGGAGGGTAGTTACCGGTAAGGAATGAGATGTTGATAGAAGGGGGTTTGTGAGAAAGGGACTCCTAATCCCATCCTTCAGCCATCCTGGGGCAAAGCCAGCATAAGACTAGGGAGGGCAGTGACAGCCTGATGGGGGGTTTGAGGAACCGAGAGGAGGGTCCCTCTCCAGAGAGGTGACTGTGTGGTATGTCTAGGGAGATGGATCTGAGTCAACTTCACAAAGTCAGGACTTCCAGGATGGTGCAGGAGGCATGGTAAGATTCCTGTCTATCCTGGGGATGTTCACAACAGTTCTTATTGATGAAGTTTTGGGGTGATAGGGGGTTCATGAGGTCCGGAGCTGACAGCCAAGAAAGAATTCTTGAAGACAATTTCGGTGCTGAAAGGTGATTTTGTTAAAGCATGGGGACAGGACCCATGGGCAGGAAGAGCTGCACTGGGATCATGACAGATAACTCATTACATACCCTCAGGTCAGGGCAGGGTCAGGGATAGAGTAAGTCTCTAAAGAATTTTGGAAGCAAGGTTTCCAGGTCCTTGAGGGGCTAGCTGTTGCTGGGGAAAATGCCATTTGTTACCATTCAATAAAACCTCAGTCATGAGACCCTTCAGATGCATATTGGGGGGCCATAAGCCTGGAGTATATTGCCAGCATCTATTTTGGGACAGTTGAGATAAAGGAAGGAGACTTGCAGGATCCTCGAAGTTGGGATAATGTGAAGCTAAGATTCCTTTTTGCCCCCAGCAAAGTGTCATCCAAGAGGCAACTGAGCTCCTAAAGGGAGGTCACGCTGCTGGTCTCAATGACTTGTGAGTGGGCTATAAGCAGTGAGGGAATTTAATTTTTCATTTGCCTTTGTTTTCCACATCACCATGGCAAGCACGTAAACCTCCCTCCTTTGTTCTTGGGTAGCCAGGAGTATCCGAGGAATATCACACACATTCCGTCTGGGGGCAGGGGTGCCAGCCTGTAATTTGCCTTCAGTTTGCCCCACGCTCCCTCATCATTATTAGTCCAGGAACCACACGAACTTAATACTGGAAGTTATCTGACCTTCAGAAGCTCTGCAGGGAAGGATTTCGCTGAATCTACCACCCAGGATCCTGTTGGACAAAAGTCAAGAAAGCTTGGCACTCAGTTGTGTTAAGCTCACAACCACGTGCCCAGCTCTGAGGAAGGAGGGGAGGTGTCATCAAGGAGAGGAACTGATTCAATAGCATGAGAAATCCTATAATGTGCTGAGTGGTTGTAGAAAAAGAAAAACACAATTTTCTCTATGCTTGAGTTTGTAGGGTGAAATTTGTACCTGCCCTTACCTGAATCTCTGTCTTCTCTCATTTTCTTTTATTTATTAAGTTTTTAATTCCTTTACAGTTAACCTATTGTGTAATATTTGTTTCAAGTGTACAATATAATGATTCAACACTTCCATACAGCACCCAGTGTTCATCACACCAAGTGTGCTTTTTTTAAAAAAAAATTAATGTTTATTTATTTGAGACAGAGAGAGAGCAAGAATGAGAGAGAAAGCATGAGCAGGGGAGGGATAGAGAGAGACAGAGACACAAAACCCAAAGCAGGCTCCAGGCTCAGCCTTCAGCACAGAAGCTGTGAGATCATGACCTGAGCCCAAGCTGAAGTCGGATTCTTTTTTTTTTTTTTTTTTATTTTATTTCTAGGAGAGTGAGAGAGAGACAGCATGAGCAGGGGAGGGTCAGAGAGAGAGGGAGTCACAGACTGAAACAGGCTCCAGGCTCTGAGCTGGCAGTCAGCACAGAGCCTGACGCGGGGCTTGAACCCATGAACCGCATGATCATGACCTAAGTGAAAGTCGGACGCCCAACTGACTAAGCCACCCAGGCGCCCCTGAAGTCGGATTCTTAATCCACTGAGCCACCGGATACCCCAGAAACGAGTGCCCTCCTTAATCCCCGTCACCTATTTCACCCATCCCCCAGCCACCACCCCTCTGAGAACCATCAGTGAGTTCTCTATAGTTAAGAATCTGTTTCTTGGGGCACCTGGGTGGCTCAGTTGGTTTGGTGTTCTACTTCTGCTCAGGTCATGATCTCATGGTTTGTGGGTTCGAGCTCCATGTGGGCTCTGTGCTGATGGCTCAGAGCCTGAAGTCTGCTTCGGTTCTGTGTCTCCCTCTCTCTCCGCCTTTCCCCTGCTGACAATCTGTCTCTCTCTGTCTCTCAAAAATAAACATTTAAAAAAAATTTAAAAAAGAATCTGTTTCTTGATATGTCTCTCTTTATCCTTTGTTCATTTGCTTCTTAAATCCCACATATGAGTGAAATCAGGTGGTATTTGCCTTTCTCTTCTCTCACTTTCTTTAAATCTCAAACCCTTACTGTTACCCTACCCCCCTGAGAATTTTTAGGGAGCAGGTGGAGATTTTTCACTTTTTTCCTTACAACTTCTGTTATGATGAATTTTTTTTTTTTTTACAATGGCACACACTTCTTCTGGAATTAAAAATAACAAAGAAATTAATAATTGGCATACACTCCACTATATCGAATAGTAGCATAAAAGAAATATCAAATTTGTTGTTCAAGATTAAATGTTTCCAAAATAAGTATCCCTTTCATTTTTGGCTGCAATAATCCTTCATATTTTCTGCATCTAAATTTAATTGACCAAATAAAATAGATGGAGACTTTTTGTTTAAAGAAGATGGTGAAATGTGTTGGACCTGCTTCTTTTCATGCCCCACCACTGCTCAGCGATTGAAGCAACTATTAACTCAGCTTATGCCTGTTAACGGCTGGATGCAGTCTTCAGAGTTTCCTTCCTAAGACAGCAGGGCAGAATCAATGGCAGTTTCAGCTCTCTTGAAGATTGATACAAGGTTTCAGTGCTTAGCAAAACCATGTGATCTTTTAATCAATCACTGAAATAAATCTATGCAACTGGTGTCGGGAACCAAAGTCATTTCACACTCACCTTCCCAATTCCCTAGGATCAAGGGAAATAGAATCCAAATTAGACTCGCTGAGCCACACTACTGAGCCTCCACTCCCAAAGGGATTTAATATTTGTCACTGTTCAAAAGACTTGTCTTGCAATAAAAAAAAAAAAAAAATGGAGAGGCTGGTGTATTTATCTGTAAATATGAAAGTGATGGAGCATTCCCTATGGTCCTGGCTCATAAATAGACTAAGCCAGAATATTGTTGCATAAAACCATAATCTCCAATCACCGGCATGTAAACAGAAGCTCTATCTTTTCATAGGATACTAGAAAGGTTTTGCAGAAATCTTATGATTCACTCTCCTGACTCATATAAAATTTAATAGAATATTTCTACACAGAAGATTCTTTTTTATTCTTAAATATCTTGAGGAAAGAAGTTTCTCTAAAAATATCAGTTATAGCCTCATCCTCTTTACTTCTAGGAATTTCTTCCACATAAAATCAACTCTTGATTTAATCTATATAAGAAAGATGAGTGAACCAGTAAGTACAGAATGATAAATATTTTAAAAGTAATTTAACCTTGCCCTGAAGTTTTGTGGAAGCATTACATAGTGAAGAACAAAGACGTTATCTAGGTTAATGTTTTTAAAAGCTTTTTTTAGCTGACCCACCCAAAATTCAAGTGTGTGTCAAAGGAGTGGCCATGTTCAGTGCTGCTCAAATTCAGGACCAAAACAGCATCTTGAATCATCTTCCTGGCCTCTATGTTTGAACACTTAGTCTCCCACCAAACCCTTTGTTAGTTGCCTACAGTCTCACTGGGTACACGGGTAGAGGAAGCAGCAGAATTGTACATTTGACTTGGATAAATGTAGCTCTCAGCATGCTATAACGTATAAAACCTGGGTTGAAAGCACCCTGAGGTCTTCATAGCAGATCAGGGGAATGAGAAAAGAAAGGAAACAAGGGACCAGAGTTGAGGAGCTAACTCCACTGCAACGTGGCCTCCAAAATGAGGGGATCCAGCATTCACCCAAATAGGTTAGGAGTATGGATACCTTGAGCTTGAATTTGACTGTCACGAGTACACAAAGCATGTACTGTAAGTGTTGGGACATAATAGTAGTAATAGTCTGGAAGCAGCATTATGCTTTATGTAATGAGGTGGTGGCATCACAATTCTAGATGGTCCTAGCAACAACTAGGAGTGTACCTGAACAGAGTTCCAGTTCCCTGAGAGAGGAAAGGTGTGGAAGTATAAAAGGATCAGTCCAAGGCATTTAGACAGAAGCCATCTGCATAGATGAGACAAATAAGTGGGCTTCAGAGGAAAGGCTGCGGTTCCCTGGACAAAGATACTCGATGTGTTGAGTATGCCAGGTGTTGTAAGATCAATCAGATTCCACCAGCTGGTCCCCTGGAAGCCACTATCATACTCTCTAATCAGCTCAGAAACTGGGAAGAAATGAGCCTTTGGTTAAGGTCTGAGGAATCAGTAAAGCCGAGGAAGTCATGAGTACCAGTTGTCTATGTCAGTTAGATATTTGGGATCCTCTCCCACCAACTACCATGCTACCAGGTGCCTCAGAGATATAGGACATAGATAAACCACAAGATTTCTTCTAGGAAGCATTCTTCTCTCCCTAATCAGAGTTTAGGACAAAATAATATGTTATTTTTAAGTTTAAGTTTAAAGGTGATTTATTGTTATTTCAAAGCATATGCTACTTGGTGTTTTATAAATGGAAACCAGGAGAAATGTATCCTTTGAAAGACATTATTTGAGGCTATGTTTAATCAAACTCTAACACCCAGATGATGGTGTTATTGGCAAAATTTCAAAATAAAGTCCACTCTGAGGACAGGACATGAAATTATATTACAGCAAGGGTTATTTAAGCAAGATCCTAAGATGACAATGCCAAATACAGTGTCTTTGGAACACAGGACTGTGAGATCACATGACCTTATGAAATTAGGTCAGGATATTTTTTAATAATAAGGTGTGTTTACCTTAAGAGTGGTGTCACCTACAAAATAGACAACTCATGTCTTATGATTTCACAAATTTTCTCCTTTTATTATAAAA